CACACGTACAGTCCCCCGGGCCAGCAACGACAAACTCATGAGCCCCATAGGCACCCGCCATACCAAAGCAGACCAGGAAAGGGCACAGAGGTCCGGGCCCCCAGGGCGCACCCCCTCCAGGCCAAAGCCCGACAGGCCCAGAGGCCCCGAGCCCCAGCAGGCAGTCACCAGGCCAGGCCGGGACACACCCCAGCGCCCAGCCCCAAAAAACAATCTAACAAAATCTAAATGCAAATACAAAATTCCAGATCCTCATTTACTGGTTAATTATTTGGGGGTGGCCCTTGGGGTGGCCAATCAGGTACCAGAGGGACCCACCACCACCAGCAACAGCCTTTTATTGTCATGCTTTGAATAAGTTAATGTCAAGAGGAAACTAACAGAAAATGTTCAGTTTCTGGCGTTTATTTCCATCTGAAGTCTCTGAGGACTATCTCCATCTGGACGTCCTCCAGGCAGCTTCCTGTTGTCCAACCTGTCCTTTCAACGTAAACCCTGCCAGCTACAGAATGCACGGCCAACCGTCCACAAAGGTTCGGCTTTATTTAGAGCTGAACATACGGGTTCTGATCTGATCGCTGGGTACCGAAGTGTCCAGGTCTGTCAAACAACAAGAACACATCAATCTGCTCAACACTGAACTGCTTTAAAATGTGAAAAATATCAACTGAAACAGGAATAATCACAGGTTATTAACTGCTTTTCATGAATTGTTTGGAAAAACTGAAGCTGAAGGATTTACTGTTGCAACAATTCATGAGTTCAAAGTCAAATGTTGGGTTCAAAACATTCTTAAARCAACTATTTATTTATGTAAGTATTGTCTTTAGAATGTGCCAAAGAAAAATAACAATGAAAAATAATGTGTAGCATATTTTGTGTAGAAAAAAACCCAATCCAAAACCAAAGTTTTTCAGAAGTGAATCTTTTTGTTGTTGTTGTTTTTATTTTGTCTYCCTCCTCATTAAAAGATTCTACAAAATCAAATAACTTTAATGTGACACAGTTAAAACCAGTAGTCAAAGTGTTGAAATAAAACTGGTTTACAGTAACAGAAGGCTGCAGGTCTGAGAAAAATAAATAAAAATTTATCACGTCTGGAAGAAAAGGTGGCATTCATAAAGCCAGTTACGTGAAACATGGATTCAGTTCAGTGTGTGTGTGTGTGTGTGTGTGTGTGTGTGTGTGTGTGTGTGTGTGTGTGTGTGTGTGTGTGTGTGTGTGTGTGT